ATGAAACTACTTTTTCCTTGCCTAAAAATATTTCCCTCTGAAATTTTCCTGAGTTGCAAAGTTCTTACTTAAAAAGTGACTCATTTGAGTGTGAAATAAACAACTGGAGTTTAGGAAACTCATAATTTAGTAAGTTCCTAAGGTTATAAGGTTCCTTTCAGTCATTGGTATCTGTTAAGAGTGAGGGATTTGACACCAGAAGGGCTGTTTTGTAATTCAGTTGGTAACCTTGACTGTTCATGCCAATACTGCTGACTTCTGTTTGTTCTGCTCTCTGTAATCTTTCTTCTTAGCCAAGCTTGGTATCATCGGGGCTTTCATTTCTTGAGTTACTAAATGATGACTAGAAACACCAGATCAAAGAAATATTTATGTTTCTTTAGAGGTTTAGCCTTCCTGGTTGAGGATTAAAATAGGAAAATTTGACCCAGGCTCCCCAAAAGACGAATGAAAGATCCTGGGGGGGGGCACGGAAATCTGTTTAATTCATTTCTGGATTTTGCAGAGGAGGAGATAGCAACATCTTGCTGGTAATTTTTAGCAGTTCTGCTATTGGTAATACTGTCCCTGTAGCGCAGCAGCACTTTTTGGAGGAGGAATATGACAGCCACCAGCAGACGCCATTTACTGCTGGGGTGTTGGAGTGCTTGTGAGTGCCTGCTGTGACCTGTAGATGACTGCTGACCCATTAGCTCTCTGTCTGAGAACAGCTGCCCATGCACTGGTGCAGCTCTTGTTTCTAGATAAGGCACAGTGTTAGGTTTATTCTTAATCCTTACAGGGGTGCTACAAGGGTTTCCTCATACTTTTCTTGCAGCATTTACTCTTTGGTGTGTAGAGTTCAAAAAAGCTCTTCCTTCCAATGGCTACAGCAGTGATTTTCTGTTTCCCTTCTGCAAGGGAATCTGAAATGCAAAGGCCAAATAGTAATGCATACTTGCATAGAAATAATGTGCTGAGTTTGTAACTACTGGAGAAAATAATTTGGCACATAGCTATTTCTGTGTACCTCCCTAGCACCAAGAACAATTAGACACCAGCTGAAGACAGTGACTGCCAAAAGCGCATTTGGATGAGGTGGGTGTTTCTGGGTGGTACAGTCATGCGTTAACAAGTGTGACTGCATCACTAAAACAGAAGTATATTTGTATCCCCAAGCCCTTTGTAGGGATATGCCATGCTCAAGAGGAAAGGACATGGATAAAGCATCTGGCAGGGAGGAAAGGAAAAGAAATGAGTACAGGATAATGAGGTGTCTTTAACTGCTTGCTGTTAGCAAAAACCATCCACCTGAACTGGATATAGTGTTCACAGCTGCTTCAGGAATCATTCTCTGTGAAAGCTGAAGTAGGAGCAGATCAGCTGCTCCAAATCCAGTTCTCTGGGTGTTAGAAGAAATCTAAACTGATGGGCGGATGGGTGGGCAGCAGACAGCACCAGGGAGGGCAGCAGCAGCAGTAGGGATAGGGATGCAGGAAGCTTTGTGCGCACTAGAGGAGATGTAAGCCCTTTCCCTGCAATACACATACACGCTCTTCTGATAGTGATAGGAAAACAGACATAATTTTTTCTATTTGCTGAGACTGAACTCTCACAGGGCACAGCACTACTTGCAAAAAATCTTAGCTCCAGTCCATGAAATCTTGCTCCCTTCTGCTCCTTGAATCCAGTGCTGAGCTCCAGTGGATGCCTGTGTACTTCACGGGGAGGGACAAACAGCATCCCACAGAAATCTTAACCTTTATGCATTTTGAGAGAGGAACTCAGTTTTTTTCTTAACACATCATATGCATGGATAAATGCTAGTGATTAAATGATACTGTGTGGGGCTGTGTGATAAAGTGTTCGGCACAGCGGATTCTGTTAGAGAACGAGTGATGAGTTACAGTCAGACACCAAGAAATGATGGTCCACAAGCCGCAAGTGCTTTTAATAGGATAACTACACACTTGTTTGCTTAGATTTCTTGTAATTGCATCTTCCACCACTGGAGTGTTGAAGGGTGAGCAGATACAGCTCTGTGAAAATGATACAAAAGAAACCAGCCTGCACCTTGAGAAATGTTTAGCAGCTTAATTAGATTCAGAGTATAGTACTGTTAACAGTGCATAAATGACAGCTATTTTCTGTTTATCTACATATCGTTCCATTCGGTGAGCTTTATCCATTATTATTTAAATATGAGTGTTTTAAGTATCTTTTCTCCTCAAAAGCAACCCCTATTTTTTCTTCCAATCTGATTTCACAAGATATTGTCAGACTTCTCACATGTAAGTGGATAAACACTATACTCTACCCTCCAGCAGTCATAAAGGGAGAAGCAGGGGGAGAGGAAGTCCTACCCCTAGATATCCAATGTTATGACTCAGTACTCAGGAAATGTGGGAAACAGAGGTCTTCAATCATAAATGTTTCAGTGGGGTTTTCTTTGCTGCCTTCTGCTAATCTGCTAATCCTTTTAGAAAGCTGAATTCCACGTCTCTTTCTGGAGACAGTAGAGCACAGCTGATGTTTAAAGCAGTTTTTTTCTTTCAGCATAATACAGCCATTGTCAAGGTCACAGGGGCTGCAGAGGCTGTGCTCTGACTGCAATGGTAGTGAAGTGCGCTAGCTTGCACTGAGCATGAGCCAAATTCCATTCTGTCGCATCCTAGTATCTTCAAAATTTATCTGTGCTACTGCTGCGCTAGAGCTACACGGCATGACAAGTGAGCTTTCCATTAGATTCCTGGCTGGGTTAACATCAACAGCAAAGCAAATACACCGTTTTTAGTACTTCTGAATAGCATCTCATTTGGACCTTGATGTGAAAGCAGAATACAGTAAGTTGCAAGTGACAGAAAAAAAATAGTTCAATATCTCAGGTTTCTAACCTGGTCATCTTGAAAGAAACACCTCTGACAGCTGTTGTGCCAGCTGGTAGCTAGTGGGCAAAATACAAAAATTATGAAACTCCAGAGTTTGTAATACAGGGGAGGGAGAGGGGGAGAGAGAAATGACTGTGATGGCTTCTTTCTGGGTTTTCTTGTCTAATGCAAACTGCTGAAGGTCTCTTGGAAGAACAACTGCAAAGACCAGTGATACCTTTCCCAAACTAAGGGTGTGCATAGTGGTCTCACGTCTCTGCTTCTCTGTGATGTCCCTAAGCTGCTGGCCCACGTGCCAAGCCCGAGCACCTTTGCAGGAGACTGCTGCTGCTGACAGCAGGCTTTGTAGTTCCTGTAAGGAGCCTCAAGTCCCTATTCCTGCTAGACAGCATTGAATGCTTGACAACGAATGCAAAGCCAGGGTCTTACTGACACAGCCTGAATCTGTTTCCCCTGAAAAGTGCACAACCCATCCCCAGGTTCAGATGTGGCTCTTAGTGACTCATCTGCACTCAGGGGTAAATGCCCACTGCTCTGTTAGTACCTTTAGCTGTTGGCAAACTTGCATTGCTGGTTTTGAGGCAAGGGCTGTTCTTGCACTCATTAGTGCTGTGGTTTGGCATCTAGAACATGTAAATCGAGATTGGCCAAGGTGCCGTCTTTGAGGCCTTAGAAGGCAGCCCACAAAGGGATTTGTTTATTGTGGTTGTCTTTGGCTGAACCAGTTGGCCAGGGCTGGCTGGCGTGCCTAGAAGGTCCTTTTAGCTGCACTGGGACTGGGGAAATGGACTAGGTGCTCTGGGGGAAGGAGGGGTTTAGAGGTGCCAGCCAGTGAGCATCCCACAGGATCCCCTCCCCAGGTGTGCACTGCGTACTGAGGTCACTCCCCCTGCCCTAACTGGAGAAGCTGCTGCATGGCCTTTTCCAGAGACCCACATTGCCAGCACTGTGGTCGGTCTCTGCTTGCTCACATGCTCGGACAGAGGGTGCACGGCCTTAGTGCTTGAGGCAGTTGAGAAAAGCCTTGGGGGACCTTGGGCTTCTGGGGGTGGAGGGCTGAATATGCTGAGCCAGAGCTGCCAGCCTGAGTTCTTCATTAGGTGGCCCTCGACCAAACCTCACTAAGCCACCCACCAACAGCAATGCTCTAGGGGCCCTGGCACAAACTGTGTGGCTGGGTTTGGTGCTGAAAGTCACAGGGGCTGTGTCTGGCCAGGTGTGTAAGGGAAAGATGAGGACATGAGGAAAGGAGTGCCTCATGCTTCTCTCCCTTCTAACATCTCTGTAAGGAGGACCAGCTGCTCTTTACAAGCTTAAGTCTCCCTAGCCCCTACTGAAACGGTGTCTCAGAGCACCAGGCACTATGAGCACCCAGCTCACTGGAGGTGCCCCAGCTGTCTGGTTGTTTTTCCTGGGGCCATGCCCACGTCTGTTGTGGGTGCGCAGTGGCAGAGGGCTCACAACGCTGGCTTGCTATGAAACTGGTAACCCAGGAAAGCACCTTGTCTGCTGCTGGGGTGCTGCAGGGGCAGAACACAGGGAAGTCCTTCATCTACAGGAGAAGGCAGGGCTGCAACTGCACTCAGCTAATCAACGTAGGATGATGCTAGGTATGTTTAACGCTATTACCCTTCTCTGGGGATGGCTTGGCTCTATGCTGCAGGCCTGAGCCAAACTAATAATATCATGTCTTAATTCCAAGGTATATTTTCTATCTTCTTATTTGTGATTAAGGTTTAAAACTTGTGTGTTGTTTTACTTAAAACTTCATTGATGACTGAGGGTTACTTTTTTTTTTTTTTGAATTTTGCTTCTTTGTCTACTTCAAGTGTGTGTTTCCTTCATATTTAAGGTAATACCTTATGCTTCAAGCTAGGCAGCTGTGCAAATCCCAACCGGATCAGAGCCACAATATGCTACCCCTTTTTTCAGAGCAAAACTGATCCCAGATGATCCATCTCTTTAAAACTTGGGCAATTTATGCTCCCAGTACTACTGATACAAAAAAGTCATAATGTAAATGCAGAGTCTTGGTGCATTTTTCCTTAAATACAACAAATGTCATCTCAGTTATATAAATTTATACAGGTTAAAAAAACAATGAGTATGTTCTCCTTGTATGAGCAAAAGCTCTTAAAGATATTGCCTACACCGCACAAGCTTCTGGAAGGCTTTCTTGAAATCTTCATTAAAGATTGTGTAGATTAGAGGGTTAATAAGGGAATTTATATATCCCAGCCATGCTAGGAAATTAGACATGTCTTCTGAGATGTGACATCTTTCACAGGTATTAACAACTACTTCTTTTACAAAAAAAGGGAGCCAGCAGATCACAAATGCCCCCAAGATCAGACCCAGAGTAGTTGCTGCCTTTCGCTCTCTTGTGCTAGAGATTCTCTGTTTTTTCCAGGACTTCTCGTGCTTAGACTCAGACCTGGGGCTTCGTAGGGTGGTATTGGTTTTATTGCAGTCCACCAGGGGATCTGATGTCTTCTCTGCTGTGCTGGGCATTGAAGCTGATTTGGTGCTTCTTTCACCTGTGTCCAAAAGGACTTGTCCATTTACCTCCTCCCTTACAATCCGGCTAACGCTTCTTCTGTGAAATGTCTTTGCTGCCTTGTATATCTTGTAATAAAGGATCAGAATCAAGGCCAGTGGGATATAGAAGGCGCCAAAGGTAGAGTAAATGGTGAAAATAATATGGTCGTGTTTGATGATGCATTCGTCATCTCTGCTGGTTGTCTGGTGCCGCCAAAACAAAGGCGGCATGGAGATAAAAATCGATATGATCCATACCACTGCAATCATGATGCCAGCATGCTTAGGTGTCCTTTTCCGTGCATATTCCACAGCATCTGTGATTGCTCTGTACCGGTCCAAAGCAATGGCAGAGAGATGCAAGATGGAACACGTGCAGCATGTAATGTCCACGCTCAGCCAAATGTCACACACCACTTGCCCCATGATCCAGGTCTCCTTTACAATGTATACAATGCTGAAGGGCATCACTAGGACTGCCACAAGGAAATCAGTCACTGCAAGAGAGCAGATTAAATAGTTGGCAGGGTGGTGGAGCTTTCTTGTCACAATTATTGCAGTCATCACGAGAGAATTGATGGCCGTTGTCATTAGTGCAAGCACAGACAGGGTAATGGAAATGAGAATCTTGGATGTCACCCATTTGAATAGTTCTTCTGATGTTCCGTTTTGTTCAGTTGAGTTTATTAAATCCATGTTCCCTTTTAAAGGTGATCTTTACCAGTAGCAGTTACCTGTTGGAAAAGCAGAAACATTCAGAAAGTGCATTCTCAGCCTCCAGAAAGTCTTGGGTTTTGTCATCTTAAAAGACTATGGGCCCCAAACTTACAGGAACCTCAGACTTACCATTAGAAATTATTCTGGCTCCAGGCAGTTTTTCCTGGCTAGCACTATGTGGGATGCTCTACCTCCAGAATAGGAACCTCCTCTTCCTCCTTGGTTGTGCTGTTGGGAAGGGCATGTTTGCATGGCAGAGGAGAGGAGCATGCTGTGGTGCCCGAGATGGCCCTGCCCATGGGTTACTGCACGTTGCTGAACGGGGAACCAGCCTTGTTCCTCAAGCAGGGCAGTGGCATCAGTGCGGCCCCTGGGATGCAGAGCCAGCCCTCCTGCTAAATTCTTACTCTGAATGAATTGTAGTGGAGTCTTGAAACTGGTTAAATGCAGATAATATCACCCTAAAGTAAGTACTAATACAGATTTTGGGCTAGCGCTGTCTAGTCCACTAAGCAATGTAATGACTGTTGAAAACTTTAATCAACAGGAAGCAGGCATAATGCTTCTTTTCTCTATACAAACTACTTTTTCCCCATCAGCATGCGAGTCCTTCCTTGTATATAGATAAGCATGGAATTTCTAAACTGGGACATAGTTTTCAAGAGAAAACAAATGTGAAACATTGCAGTACAAACAGGAGAAGAAACAATTGCATGTTGAAAGTTTCATTTTAGAGTTTCCTCTTATGCATGTCTAAAATGAAACAGCTGAATATATTTTAAAGCTTCAAATGGTTCATTTATTGTCTAACTGAAATATTATGCATAGATTAGAGTCTTGAGAACATCATTACTTTTCCTCAAGTTTTGCTATTCTGTGGTTGCTGCCAAAGGAAACTGCAGAAAATTTGGATGCTAGTTGTTCTACTGTGAGTCTCTCTACAGAAACAGTATAACTCCTCTTGTGGCTCTGCAGGAAGCAAAAAACAGGGAAATACTGATGAAGTAAATTCTCGGTTATGTTCTGAGGATGTGCACCCTGCTTTCTTATCAAGAAGGGTTTCTGAGCACTCTACAGACTGCAGCTGAAGTATGAGTTTCCAGCTTTTTAGACTAGAGCTTGTAACTCAGTTAAGAGGATCAGATTTCATCCTATTGCAAGTTTTGACGTGCAATTTCTTGTGTGTGCAAGATCTACCAGGTGAAGTGGGGTTTTCTCTGATAACTTCTGGAGTGTAGTGAGTGGGTTGCGCTTGTGTTGCACTGG